CAAAAAAAAAAAAAAAAAATTCAGGATCATTTTCTCTACTATTTAGATGTTACAACTCTATTTTACTATTTTAGCTACTTCCGTTCCTAATTTAATATTATACAAATTCACGTAATAGAGACATTTAAGGAGGTGGGTCTCAAACTTGCCTGTGCATTAAGGTTACCTGAGAGGAGCTTTAAAAAATTGTGACACCCAGGCTATATACCAAGCCAGTCAAATCAGAATTTTCCTGGGCGGGAGGCGGGCACCAGTTTGATTCCAAATATGCAGCCAACTTTGTGAACCACTGGTCTAGGGACTGATTCTCTATACACTTCTCTATAACAAGAATGTACTCTACCATTGCAGCTGTTGCCAAAGGGTTTTCTTAATCGTCCTGAATTTATATAGAAAACTTGCTCCTAATAATCAAAAACTCTTTTAATGTGTATATTTTTTCCTCAGCATCTCATATACAGCAAATCAAGTGAAAATCTCTCCCCTCAAGGCACCACATTGCCTCACAGTATAATTGTTTAAATGTCTCATGTTCTTTAGCTCTGCAAATGCAAGCCTATAAAATAAAAACATGTAAATCGAGTGTTTGCTAAGCAAGTGATTGTGATAAAAATATCACAGGGGTTTGCTCTTTAAACGGTCCTAATTAAGACATGTAAGGATGTCATCAGAGGGTGATCAGTTTGTCTCTGTTCACCTGGGACTTTCCTAATTTTAACACTGGGAGTCCTCAGTTGTGGGCAAACAGGGACGGCTGGTCACCCTACCATGAAATTGATTGGTAACAGTTAAAATTAAGCCTTGGTACTTCATTAGTGCAGCTGTGAATGAACTAGTGATACACACATCAACTTTAGCAATTCTCACAGACATGTGCCAAGCTAAAGGTGCAAGGCAGAAAAGAAATTATACCATGTATCACTTGTTTGAAGTTCTAGATCAAAACGAATCTATGGTGAAAAAAATGTTAAAATAGTGGTTGCCTTTATGGTGGTGGGGAGTTTATTGGGGTGACACATGGGAAACTTCTGGTATAATGGAAATGTTCCTGTCTTGATAGGGGCGGGGTTACATGGATGTATTCACTTATCAGAACTCATCAAATAGGACACTTAGAATTTGTGCATTTCAATGTATGTAATTTTTACATAAAATGTAAAATAAATTATAAAAATTAAATTAAAAACAGTGACTAGAAATATTTATTTATGAATAAATCTATGTCTTTACCAAATTGTCATGTTGGCTAATTTGCCTTAAGAGCAATTCTTTTAGTTAAATTACACTGCTATGAGCTCTTTGATGTTGCTTTACCACATTGTGTTACAGTTTGTGTGTGTGTGTGTGTGTGTGTGGTCTTCCCACTAAACTGTAAATTCCTCAAGAAGAGACTCTACACCACATTTGTAACTCCAGTGACTGGCAACGTGTGTCTCTCAGATTATCCACTCAAGAAATCTGCTTTATAAATAAGGCAGGAACTTACTAGAGGCACTTCTTCAAAGCTCGATTGAACAGAATAAAGCAGTAGGTCTCCAAGTGTGGTCCTTGGATCTTCCACATCAACGTCATTTGGGTACTTGTTAGAAATACAGAACCTCAAGCTCCAACTTGCAATCAGAAACTCTGGGAGCACTTCCAAGCATTTTTAACAGGCCCTCCAGATGAATCTGATGTATGCTCAAGTTGGACTATCATAAATAGAGAATACGTAGAAATAGTAATTAAATAAGGTTGAATTTACTAAAATCCATTCACATTTCAAATTTACCCAAAAAATTTGTTCTGTAGATTTCCTAGTTCTGAAAAGAGGCACATTCTGATTATTCAACTTTTTTTTTCTCCATTGAGGGAATATTTTTAATTAAGAATGAGATAAGGAATAAAAATGAGGCTATGTCTTCCAGAATCTAAGAGACCAGCGGAGAGATCTAATATATAAGACAGCAAAGTAACAGCTTAAAACTATGAGATATAGTAACAGGAATCATACAGATAAATTGCCTGCCAAGGTTTTAGAATATGGAACATGATCCAAAGTTTGAAACATCCGAGGAAATCCCTTCCAGTGGTGTAGAGGTCACCAGTGTCCCTTACACCTACAGCTGTCCCCTTCCTCTTTGCTCAAAAATGACCCACAAAGTAGGGCCTTTTCCTCTTGTCCATGCCAGATGCCACACTATGCTGATGGGATTTCTTCCCCATTGGCCACTGGAAGAAATGCACAACCAGAAATATGACTGCCCAAGTTGCTTCCTGGTAGGGGATACAGGAGGGGAGAGTAAGAAATGCAATTCCAAATGCCGAATATCACATGACAGCCCACTGTGGAGGAAGATGAGGAGAGTGTGGTCTAGAAGATGCCAGCAGATGAGAATCAGGAGAAAAAGCAGATCAGGTAGAATTTATCACATCTGGAAAAGAAAATTTTGTTTCCAAGTTTAAACCACTAACTAGATAAACATTATCGTGTAATCTGATAATTACTTAAATGTTAAGTAAAGAAAAACAAAGAAATTGCGTTGACAACTCACCCTCTTCCAGCAGTATATAAGAGGCAGTAGCACAAGGAGACTTCTAACCTCAAGAACCGCACTCTCCTGGAAACTCACCCAGAACCTCCACCCTCTGACACCATGGTCAGCTCCTGTTGTGGCTCCGTCTGCTCTGAGCACAGTTGTGGCCAAGGCATCTGCCAGGAGACCTGCTACCGCCCCAGCTGCTGCCAGACCACCAGCTGCAGGACCACCTGCTGCCGCCCCAGCTGTAGTGTGTCCAGCTGCTGCCACCCCAGCTGCTGCCAGTCTGTGTCCTGCCAGCCCACCTGCTGCCGCCCCAGCTGCTGCATTTCTAGTTGTTGCCGCCCCTCCTGCTGTGGTTTCAGCTGCTGCAGGCCCCAGTGCTGCCAGTCTGAGTGCTGCCAGCCCACCTGCTGCATTTCTAGCTGCTGTCATCCCTCTTGCTGTGGCTCCAGTAGCTGTGGTTCCAGCTGCTGCTGCCCTTCCTGCTGCCTACGTCCAGTCCGTGGCCAGGTCTCCTGCCACATCACTTGCTACCCCCCCACCTGTGTCATCTCCACCTGCCCCCGTCCCGCGTGCTGTGCCTCTTCCTGCTGCTGAATCTCTGCCTGTAATCTTTGTCACACTATGGATGTCCACACAAGCCATATAAAATGTGTTGGAGCCAAACAGTGATCGGGGAATGGACTCTTAGCTGCCAACCCTTCTGATTTGGCATTCAGAGTTGGTGTTCAGTTCTAGGAAATGATGGATGAAAACACATTTGTCAAATGATTTTAACCCAGGCCCAAATGCATCTATTTTCAGACCAGCAATGTCTTCATCCTAAGTATACACTGATTGTGATGATCTCGTATTACGTTGTTTCCATGTGTTCTTGATAAACAGCCATTTCCCCTGCTACTGAAATCCCCTGATTTGTTAATGATTTGGTGTGTACATGCACGTGTGCATGTGTGTATGTGTCTTTACCTATCACTTCACACCAAGGACCATCTTGCTTCAAATGCAGCAGGGCATATTCAAGAGCAGCTGCTTATGTTGGAATCGAGACTCCACTAGACATTAGTTGTATGGCATGGGCAAAGTTACTTTACCTCTTCAAGCCTCAGTTTTCTTCTCTGTGAAATGAGGGTAATACATTATGTTCTTCAAAGGTCCAAAGACAGACTCCACGTAAGGCACTTAGCACAGAGCTGGGTGCATAATGTAAGCGCTCAATAAATATCATTTTATTGTTATTGTTATTGAAACACTACCCTTGGCTAGAATATTAAATTAGCGTAGTGTTCCCTTTGACAGAACAGCAAAGAGAGTGTGTATAATTTTTTCACTGCCCGCTATAACTCAAAATTGTTTTGATATATGTTTCAAATGTCCCTTAAAAACTCCAGTGAGTTGAACATCATAAAGTCATCTAAATTTCACTTGACTATATTTCTACTTCCAGTACGTTCCATTATTAGTTGTGTAAATTTTGGGTGTTCTACTGTGCTCAGGTACTTTTTCCTCTCTCTCACTCCCTTCTTCATTCCTTCTCTTTCTTCCTTTCTTCCCTCCTTCCTTCCCCCTTCTTTCCTCTCTAAATGTAATACTTTCTTTCAGAATACTAAGTGTACCTTCTAAATCCAGACTTCTGGCAATTTATGAAGTCTGTGGCAACTTTTCCATAAAAAATTTTTAAACTTTTTATTAATCAATGCTGAAAATTTTAGTATTCCCAGACTGAAACTCCGTCATAATTTTAGCCCTTCATATTACTGAGATTTCTCCATCTTCCTGATGGTTTTACTCTCCCATTTTAGGCTTTCATCACCTGGCTTGGTCTTAAGAGACCATAAGACTTAGTTCTCTCTGGTAAGAATGATCCTCCTTAGCTGCGAAAATGTGTCACAATATATACAATAACATCACGTTTATACAAATATAAAGGTCTATAAGTTTTGGCTCATAATTTGAAGTATATTAGAAACATTTTAAATTCAAAGTAAAATATTGCATATTAGCTGTGTTATATTTCCAAATAACTTAAAGGTGTAACTAAGAGTCGGTTGTTATTTCTAAAATTTAAAAAAAAGTTTTGTTTTTTTTTTTTGTGAGGAAGATCAGCACTGAGGTAACATCCGATGCAAATCCTCCTCTTTTTTTTGCTGAGGAAGACTGGCCCTGGGCTAACATCCGTCCCCATCTTCCTCTACTTTATATGGGACGCTACCACAGCATGGCTTGACAAGCAGTGTGTCGGTGCACGCCCAGGATCCAAACCCACGAACCCCGGGCCACCAAAGTGGAGCGCACTCACCTAACCACTTGTGCCACCGGGCCGGCCCCACCCCCCGAAAAGTTTGAAAGTGTCAAGACACAAACTGCATATAAAGTGGGTTTCACCCCAACACAGGTTGGGTTTTACATTCTTGTCATAGAAATGTCTCACAGACATCTTCAGCTTTACCTTTTTCACTATACTCTGAAATGTTCTACAGGATACAGCTTTGTCTTTTATACACTAGAATTAACATGTCTTTTATCCTCCCGTAGGTTCTTCTTTAATAACTGTTAATTATAGGATGCAGGCTCTGGTTTTAACATTACGCTTTATTAGCCAGAGCTAAATCAAAGTATATAGGTTCTATATTGTCTTTTTCAGCATTAAAGTATATGAAGCTTATAATTTCCTGTTTTTACAACAAGAACTGAGTCACAGCAGGAACGAGATGGCACATTGAATCTGGGTGAAAAAAGGAATATTTACAAAGATATGGATAGAGTTTAGGGAAAGCAATGAGGGATCGTTCAGTATCCAGGGTTCACAATAGTGAGGAACAGTTACTCCTAGGCCTGAGGCCTATGCAGTGGTTTGGGTGAAGTAACCAGATGGTGGCATGCACAACCTCTTAGGATTCCTGCATGCAGGCACTCCATGGACAGTAATTGCCATCAGGGAGAGTAACAGTGCTCTAAAACTTCCAAAAGTGATACAGGGGATATTGTGGTAGAGAAAACCGTGGTAGAGATAAAGTTATGAATGGCAAAGGGGGACCGGAGTGATTATTCTGTGGTCCCATCAACTTCACCTGAATGCATAGCTGGGCTGGATTTTAAGTGAACAGAGCATCAACTAAGTCTGCCTTCACTCAGTTTTATTTGGCCATGCTCAACATATACCTTCGGAATTGCTCAAGCTCTCCTGGGTAGCAAACACTAAGCAATATAGAATTCCATAAAAGCAACAAGACAGGACTGTTCTTATTAAGGAAATAGCTGAAGCATGTGTTTTATTTCCTGCAAACTCCCTTTTGACAGTCCTGTCTGGCCGGTATGTGGGAAGACAGTTCCCAGAGGTTAACAGCGGACTCTCAGTCATTAAACAAGATCAAGCCTCTGATCGCTTCAGCTGTAACTAATATATAAGAACTTTCTAGGAAGTGCAACAAGCGTAGCAAGACTGGTATGCCATTACAAACTCGGCTAACGCATTCTTTACAACACCAGTTTGAGGGTCCAGCCAGGTACAATTTACTTTCTCGTGGCGGGGAGCCTGGTATACATGTACTATTTTGACACACAGATATTTGAGTTCACTAGCATATTGCCTTCATCTAGCGAGGTGGCCTTGGACTTGTAACCATTAAGAGCAAGTCAATATTATACATTGATGACTATGGTACCAGTGCATGAGAAATCATCAATGAATTAAAAAAGCAAGTCCAGAAATTGACTCAAATACATAAAGGAATTTAGTAAATGAAAAGGTAGCATTTTAAATCAGTGGGGGAAAAATGTATTGTTTAATAAATGGTGATGGGCTCTGTTCATATCAGATTTAAAAATATTTAAACTGCATATCATATATCTTTGTAAATTCATAATGGGTCAAACATTTGAAAATATAAAACATGAAACTTTGAACTTAGAAGAAACTGTGGGACAATGTTTATGCAAATTTACAACCGGAAAGGCCTTTCAAAGTATGACACCAACCTCAGAGGCCATAAAAGAAAAGATTAATAAATTTGACTGTACCAGAAGTAAACACCTGTGTGGCAAAAACCACATAAGCAAAGTCAAAGAAGGAAGACTAACTAGGAAAAATATTTGAAATTCACATTATATAAAAAGGCTAATTTTTATAATATATAAAGAGCTTTTATAAAAATCAATGTATAAGGGCTAAACCCAGTAGGAAAACATAAAAATACAAATTACAGATAACACAGAAAATTTCCTATAATTTTCTTTACAGAAAAGGAAATATTAATAGCTCTTAAACATCTGAAGAGCTGTTCAATCTCATTTACAATGAGAGAAATGCAAATTAAAATCACATGGAGAAACTTTCAACTCTCTGTCATACTGACTAGGATAGATAGATGTCTATATATATCAACACATGTCTACATATGTGTCTATGTATCCGTGTAACATGTGTATCGTTGTGTCAACAAAAATGGGGAAAAACAAGCATTCACTCATTACTGATAGAAATGTAAATTGGTACAATCTCTGTGGAAGGTGAAGTTGGCGTTATCTAACAAATATTATAAATAAGTGCATACTCTTTGATTCAGCAGTTCTGTATCTGTGGGAATTTATCCTATAGAAAATGTTCACGTGTGTGGAATTATGTATAAACAGGCTTCTTCATTGCAGCGTTGCACATAATATCAAAAGATTGGAAACTAACTAAGCCCAGTAATGGGAGATTGGTTAAATAAATTATGGCACATTCATAAATTGAATACTGTGCAACTATAAATGAAAAAGAATAGCATAGCTGTGTAGACGCTCTCTGAATGCTTCAAGCGAAAGCAGCAAAGCTGGAAGAGCATGGCTGGGATGCCACCATTTGTCGAAAGGAAAGAAGTGGATAAATCTTACTATTTGTTTCTTGTGTGCTAAATGTCTCCAGAAGGACTCACAGAAACTGTCAAGTCTGGCTGCCTTCGAGGAGGCGACCTGGGTGACTGTGAAGAAAGGTGGGAGGGATATCTTTCACTTTGTCTTTTGACTTTTTAACATGTGAATATAGATGATATTCAAAACATTTAAATTAAAATTTAAAATATAAAAGATGCGGGGCCGGCCCTGTGGCTTAGTGGTTAAGTGCGTGCGCTCCGCTGCTGGCGGCCTGGGTTCGGATCCCGGGCACGCACTGACGCACCGCTTCTCCGGCCATGCTGAGGCCACGTCCCACATACAGCAACTAGAAGGATGTGCAGCTATGACATACAGCTATATACTGGGGCTTTGGGGGGAAAAAAACCAAATAAATAAAATTAAAAATATATATATAAAAGATGCAAAATATAAAAACCTCTCTCCAGAGACTATTTTGTTTCATTTTTACTCTCCACTTCTTCCCTATCCAAGACAATGCTGAGCAACATTCAAACTTTTCCTGCACTCCTTCCAAAGGGGATTCTTTTCTTTTCATATCTTAGCGATAGTGGTCCTGCTGCAGCGCATATGGACACAGGGGTGGACACCGAGGGATTGGCTGCAACCCACAGCCCAGCTCAGTAAGCGTGACCAGAGGGCTGATCCAAACAGTGGGGAGACTTGGGATGGAGAAAAGGTTTCTAGACCCTTGGGAAAAACGGTGGGCTATGGTGGCATCAAATCATAATTCAATTACATCGTTTGAGGTAGCTTTACTAAGCATGTACTTTCTTTATCCTCTAAGAGAAAAATTAAATAGCGAGCAAGCATGTTGGGGGCATAGAGGTAAATTCCAAGGGAATTGTTTAAGTGTTCTATGTTCTTCTGCTTCATTGCAACATAAATAACTTACCATCTGAAAGGGACTCGGATTTTAGTTTGAATTATTTAAGAAAAATACACAACTGTCATAGCTAATTTCCAAAAACAAATAGGAAAAGATATGAATAGTGAATGTCAAG